TGCCGAGTGCCCCTGCCCAGGCACTCGGCAAAGTTTTTTTTTTAAATTACTTTGCTGAGTGCCCCTGCCGAGGCACTCGGCAAAGTTTTTTTATTTATTTTTAAATAATTTATTTGCCGAGTGCCTAATGATTTTTTTTAAAAAAAAATACTTTGCCGAGTGCCGCGGCGAGACACTCGGCAAAGAAATTATATATTTTTTTTTTGAAAAATCTTTGCCGAGTGCCTTGCCCATGGCACTCGGCAAAGACCCCGAGAATTGCAAAAAAAAAAATTACATTCCATTGTAACAGACAATATATATATATATATACATCAATCATCACATCTATATCACCAACATGCATTATATATCACAAGCACACGCATATTTAATAAATCCATCGAAAATCCATCACAAATGCACTAAAGTTCAACATCACAAATGCAGACACCGGAGAGAACAGGAAACAGAGGGCCTGACACACACAAGCTGTAGTTGTCGAGCATAAAAACAGGGGCGTGAGCCACGCTCGTCCGTCAGTCCCAACCGGTCTACCTGGAGACGGAACCACGTGGCTGACAGGGGCTTGGATTAGCCCACGGCCCATCTATGAGTAGTTATTGGCAGTATTGGTGTATGTTCTTTGTACTCTATGATGGTAATTCAATGATATTTCGTCTGTAAAAGATCAAAAAACATGTCTGCAAAAAGATTGACCTGTGGACAGCAGTCTGCAAATAGTGAGGTTCCACAGTTGCTAGTAGCAACGAGCTTAAAGATAACATAAGCTGAAATAACGAGGTTGTAACATCCTTAATGAAGATAACATGGTCTGTTTTTTACATGGAGCTACTCCTATATATAAGGCATGTAATGACATCAAATACAAATATTGAAACTATTAAAAACAGCAATGCAGTATTAAGCAGGTGGAAGTAGCAAGGATTTGATTTGATGGTACCATCCACTGATTTGTACTAAGGCCCTGTTAAAAACTGCAGGCATGGATCGTTGTTAAAATAATCAAGTTAATATGGGGTAAGAAAATATCCTTTCAGGTCCAGATATTGTACGCTTCACAGTATGGAAAAATGAGACCTTGTCCTTGGTACCTTGAGGAAATCCTGTTCAAAACAAGCATATAAAGAGTGGCATGCCTTACATTATGTCTAAAAATGTAAATAAAGATTGAAATAAGAATTTTCCATGCTAAAATGATGAAAGCAATGAATGTAAGTATGGCCACATGTTTGTGTTCAACATAGTATGCTTCTGTTAAAGATAAGAACGGTCTGATGAGGTTTCCAACATAGCCATAGCTTTGATTTAGTTGAGTTAAGAATCTTTTTTGTTGCTGTTGTTCTTGGTGGCTCCATTCAGAAGCAGAAAAATGATTGATACTAATGATCCTTTTATTAGATTTTTATCTTGCCATCTGTAACTTAGCTCTATGAGACACTCTAAAAATAAATACACAAAGCAAGGATATTCCAATGATGCATGTGTTTGTTACTGGAGTCTTTCTTCAACTATATTTTCTTATGGATGATATCTTGGTAAAGAACTGAAGATTTTCCAGAGATGTGTTCAAACATCAAACCTTGAAGTTCGTTAAAGAGCTTTCCAAGGGTATGGTGCTGTTACTGTTGCGACTCATTAGGATTCAGTAGCTTTATGAACAAAGGTATACTTGGCAGGTTCAGAAAATATTGGTAAACTGAGAACTGTGCTCTAAACATTTACACTACGTATTTCTAATATTTCTCTAAATGTTCAAGTTAAAAAATCATGCATAGATACTATTGATGCAAGTAGCTGTCTAGCGAAACACATTATATGAGCACAAAAGAACATTTAATTACCAAGGTAAGTGAGATAACTTTTTGCCCGTTCTGTCTAATGTTGATCATGTGGTGTTCCGGCATTGCAACAAGCTCATGCTCCTCAAACATAGAAGGCAAAGGGAAGGTCGGGAAGGGGTCAGGTACCTTGCTGCCGCCGACGCTGCTAGTGCGTCAAGGCAATCTTCTTTGTATCCTTGCTTTGGTTGAGAGCTTGAGAAGATGCTTCTGTGTTGATGTCGGCTGCAACACCAGCGTTCAAATAATATTGGGAAAAAAATCCAATAGAAGATTCTGAATTGAGGATGCGAGCAAGACATGGCCAAGGATAAAGTTGCCACCTTGTTGTAGGCCTGTATGATTGAGGACAGCCTTGGAGGCATTCCATCAAACAGCTGCAGGGCGTCGTCCATGTCGGCGGCTGCTCCCTCTACTGGAGCGCTGGCCCGAGCTGCTCCACCGGCTTTGTCGTGCGTCTTGCTTTTTGCAGTTGGAGCTCATGGAGCTCACGACGGAGGTGTCGAACATGCGGTTCCTCAGGCCGCAGCCGTAGCTAGGCAAAAGGCACTGACAGGCAGGACTGGCGGGCGAGGTCGTCGTGTCCGGCGCCGCCCTTTTCGCCAGCCGCTGCCCCATGGCGAAAATAATGGCTGGTGATCCGCCCCACCCCGCGCCCCACTCGATTCACCGACGATGAGTGGGTGAATGTGTAGTAGAGGCAGCAGAAGTGATGTGGCGAGCAGAGGCGAATCTACGTTACAGCATCGGGGTCAGCCGACTCCGACAACTCGGCACTAATCCCTCTGCAATTTTTGGCCAGCTGTGATCCGAGTAAAAAATATGTTTGACTTCAGCAGCTCCCATCATATGTTGATTCAGCACGTAATTGATAGCAGGAAGCAGGCAGTAGTCTAGTTTGCAAATAAGGAATCAACAGAGTAGATAAGTGAGCATAATGAATTAGAGCAAGCTTTGCAAGTTAAATGGCAATGTGAGAATTGCCGGCACCTATAACTCACCCTCAGAGGAAATGACAATTATGATATTATTATAAATAATTACTTGGAGAGCTATACAGCCTGATTTGCATAATACGTGATCAGTACAATGTGCAGTACGAATCCAAATTGAAAGAGATTGAAATGTCCAAGTTCAGAATAGATACTTCGAAGTATACTCTTTTGGTATGTTTTTTACCGTGAAATCCGTGAAATTATTTAATTTTATAAGAGCATATTTGATGATAAGATGGTGGTATTCCAGCCCACACTAAGTACACTGATATGTGTTGAATGTTTGGGGGTTAGTTTGGCATTAGATTTTGTAAACAAAAAATTATGCAATTTTCAATTGGAATAAAGGAAGTTGTCTCACAGGGATGCTTGAACTTTATCTCTTGTTTTATAAGTTACTAAATGAGGAAGTTCCTCACTTTGGTTATCCATATGGATACAACAACAGTGGATTGTCTAGTACTTATGCCCATTTAATAGATAATGAACCTAAATTTATATATAAAGTTGATAATAGTGTTAATTTAAAATTACATAGGGTTCATAAATCAAAAGGGATATTAGTGTTAATTTAAGATTACATAGAGTTAGTAAATCAAAAGGGATATAGGAATCAAAAATAAAAATTTTCTTGGAAGGTTGAGCCCGGTTTTTTCTGAATGGTCAATCATTCTCTAATTCCAAGAGTCCATTATGATTAAAGATAAGAGTTCTTATTAATTAGGGTTGAACAAGGCTGCCAGCAAATAACCCTTAGAGATCTAAGTTCTTATTAAATAGGGTAGAATAGAACTGCTAGCAAATAACCCTTAGATACAGCCAAGAAAGATTGTGTACAGGGCACGGGTAAGAACACAAATGATCCATTTGTACACATCGCTGAAGATCTCAGAAGTACATTAAGGCAAAACAATTCAGAGGAGGGAGGCATGCCAACAGGGTCAATAGCACAATCGAACTGTATTGTTGCATGAGGATGACTCCTACCGGAGAATAGGTGGCAGATTGACATCATTTGATAGAAGTGCCAAAACACATATGGCCTCATTAATTAACTTTAATGTGAACATCAGTTAGCCTGACAACTCCTATATCGTACTACACTACACGGATAGGAGAATGAAATCAAATAAGTTCAAAATCTGAGAACGTACTCTGAATCAGTGATTGTATCTTGCAATCCTAACCAATCTTATACCTATAGCATCAAACGATGCAGGGAATCCAGAAACAAGTTGGGAGCGGGTGTTGGAGAACAGATGCAGGGAAGAGGAAGTGGACCTGGGGGCACTTTGGACGGTCAATTGACCAAACGAGGGGAGCAGTCGGCGCTCGGGGCCGGGCCATGAGAGTTGGGGGGCGCGCGCGGGGCGGAGGGCGCGCGCAAGCGCGGGCGCGCGAGGGCGGGCTCACCGGGCGGCGATTCACCGACGAGGCGCGCAGGGCGGGGGGCTGGGCGGCCAGGGTGGGCGCGGGGTGCGTGTGTGGGCGGGAGTGAGGGTTGGGCCACGCGGGGTTGGGGTGGGCTTTTAGGGCAATTTTTTTTGAAAATCAACTTTGCCGAGTGCCCTCATGGCACTCGGCAAATTTTTTTTTTGATTTTGGGCCCAAATTTTTTTCTGGGGCCTTGTGACAGTATTTCAAACTCTATTTTAAAATTTGGGGCAATTTTGACTTTTTTGATATATTTCATTAGTTTATTTCGTTTCGTCGAATTTTTCGGGATATTTCAAATTTGAACTGCAGGTCATAGTTTTTACGGCGGCGTGGCGAGGCGCGGCGACCCACCACCTTCACACCTTTACAACGTCTATGGCGCGCGGCGTGGCGACGCCATACACACATTGGCGTGGCGAATACATATATTATAGTCTAGGATATTAGAAAATTATATTGATAAATGGTAATGCAAATGTAGCTTAAAAGGTATAGTCTACAATATTAGCAAATCAAAATAGCAATATAAATGTAGCACAAAAGACATAGAACTCTCTCATCTCTCAAACTTTCAAATCTCTCATTTCTCAAAAGTCGTCACATGCATCCTAACTCAACCGCCTTGATAAATCAGGCCCAGCTCGCTAGCCCACACCAGCCCACTACCATCACCAATATATAAACGAAATCAGAAACCCTACACTCACTCTCTCTCTCTCTCCTCTCCTCACTCCACTCTCCAGAGCGACGCGCCCAAGCGCGACTCCCTCTCCTGCGAGTGACTGCGCCCGAGCACGACTCCCTCTCCCCCTCTCCCCGAGCGACTCCCCCTCTCCCCAGCGACGGCGCACAGGACCGCGCCCCTCTCCCTCCCCCGCACCCTCCCTCTCTCCCACCTGACCGCGCCCCTCTGATCGGAGCCAGCTCCCTCTTCTCCCTCTTTGACCGGTGGCATCGGCGCGTGTGGAGGCCGGATCCGGCGGCGGCGAGGCCAAATCTGGCTCAGCTGCCTCTTCTCCCTCCCCGAGCAGCGCGGATCCGTGGCACGCAGGGGCGGCCACGGCGGCGCAGCGCAGGAACCCTCCACCGATGGCGGGCTCGCGGTGTCCTTCCTTCCATCACCACCGTCTATTGCGCCCGCCACAGTGCGCACAAAGACGCCCAATCGGCGCCACGGGACGCTTGTCAGCGCCATTGGCGCATGCATACATGCCGGAGCGGGGCGCCATGGCGTTCGCCATGGCGAGGTGCGAACGCCATGGCGATATGGCGGCGATATGGTGTCGGTATATGGCGCCTTCATAACAACTATCTTTGCGGTACATGGAATAATGGACTTTGGTCATCCAAAAATTGATACTCATGATATTTAGGGTATGTTTAGGCCGTGATAAAAAATCTCGAGAATTTCGATGCGTAATCCGGATGCCAAAAAAATGTGTTATATAAATGCAAACGCCGTGTTGTCACATGTGGAAATGTCCGATTTTAAATTATACAAAATTGCAAAAACCTCCTCAATTTTTACCACAGCCTCCACTTGTCGATAACGTGTTATACATGTTTCGTGTGTTTTCGGAAAATTTGCATTTTATATAATTTAAAAATCACATTTTCGCGGATGCCAAAACGGACATGTCCGCGTGGCGTGCTCGAGATTTCATGAGTTCCTGGATACGGCCAAATATACCCTAAATATCATGAGTATCAATTTTGGATGACCAAAGTCCATTATTCTATGTACTTGCAGTTCAAATTTGAAATATCCCGAAAAATTCGACGAAACGAAATAAACTAATGAAATATATCAAAAAAGTCAAAATTGCCTCAAATTTTAAAATAGAGTTTGAAATACTGTCACAAGGCCCTAGAAAAAAATTTGGGCCCAAAATAAAAAAAAATTGCCGAGTGCCATGGGGGCACTCGGCAAAGTGGGCTTTGCCGAGTGCCGGCCTAGGGGCACTCGGCAAAGTTGATTTTCAAAAATAAAAAAAAATTTTGCTGAGTGCCTGGGCGCTGGCACTCGGCAAAATAAGTTTTAAAAATTAAAAAAAAAAATTACCGAGTGCCCAAGGCTTACACTTGGCAAAATATGTTTTTAAAAAATAAAAAAAAATTGCCGAGTGCCTGGAGCTGACACTCGGCAAAATAAGTTTTTTAAAAATAAAAAAAATTACCGAGTGCCAGCCGTTAGGCACTCGGCAAAATCTGACGGCAGGTGGCCGCCGTCACGGGCCGGCCACCTTTTGCCGAGTGAGATCTTTGCCGAGCAGTTTTGCCGAGAGCCAGGATTTACCGAGTGCCTGGCACTCGGCAAAGCCACCTTTACCGAGTGCTTTATTTTGCCGAGTGCGGCACTCGGCAAAATATTGCTTTGCCGAGTGCCCCGATAAAAAGCACTCGGCAAAGTCTCAGACACTCGGCAAAGTCCAGTTTTCCAGTGGTGAAGGCTCGCTCGTCACATATATCCTGGTCACACAGGTAATATTCACTGCAAAGAGAAGACATCATGTTAAGAAGTTTACTAAGAAGGTATGAACTAGAACCAGACAATTATGAGGTAAAAATTAGATTATTACTGACTTTAGCTAATAGGTGAACTGATAACTCAATATTAGTGGTTCTGAACAGTAACTGAGCATTTGAAAGAACTGGGAAAAAATATCCATGTTATTTCAGCACTATACTGTAGAAAAGTGAAAGCACCTTGAAATCATTTCAGTTGTCTTCAAAATTTGCATCAACTGCCTACTTTTCGTTACATGTTTATTGATAACTTTTTGGCATGTTTGAAGAATATTTTCCATAGTTATCTCCATCTGATTCAATTGCTCCTGCAGTAGCAACAGAAAGCAATATTATTAGTGACAATTCTAAATAATAGTGGCAATTCTGAATAATAGATAAATATTATTTCAGAAGTTGAATGATATACCTTATCTAGGTGAATGTGACCAACAAGGCAGTGTGCTGCTTGAGTTGCTTCTTGCTGGTACCTGAAATAGGACAACGATTTTACTAATGACAACATAAGCTGAAACATAAGTAACTGCTACTATTGTAACTCCACATCGTGGCTTAAGGTGAACTGAGCGAAGTTCAATAAAATACCAGTTTACAGCAACTCAGGTTTAATTTTCAAGTGTTATTTAGGCTTTTGAACCATTTTTCGTAATATAATACTATCAACACAGAGTTTAGGCTAAGCATTCTTTTTAATCAAGTAGGCCAACAATATTCAACAAATGCACTGCAATGTGGTGAAATAAATAACTAGGAAGTGCATACTTGATTGAAACCTCAGTGGCACAATACTCCAATTTGATTCTTTTTAAGCAGGATTTCACCCTGAGTGCTCTTTCCATGCAGAACTTGAGTCCACAAAAGCATTTGTTCAGATACAAAATTGCCTTTTGGTCAATGGTACCAGTTTTAGAGCAAGCATCGGTAAGTACTTCCTGTAAAGTAACATATAAAGTCATTATACCCAACATATTAAATTATACTTGGAATGGAACAGATCTACTAAGCACTTCACCTTCATTGAGTCCCAAGATGCCAACAGCATCACCTGGTGTCACAGAACTTGATACATTTGTCGAATCAAATTGTACAATTGAGTTGCTGCACGAAGTTCTCATGGTTCCATCATAGCATACTGTGACATCTCGGAGCATTGCCATCATGTTCTTAAAAAGATTGCCAGATTCAGCCAGTCCTTTAGATGATGAGCGCTCTATCTTTTCCCTTACTGATATTGAATGGAGTAGTTCCTCATATGGGTTTAAACCATTGTGAAATGAACTCGTAACAAAATCATGTCCCTTTGAAGGATCATAACAATTGGTGTTTCCGCTGCACCTTTTCAGAAAGTTGTAGCAGTCCTCCACTAAGTTGCTAGAGTATAACCTTCCAGTGCTTTGCAGTTGACGGCCCAAGAAACCAATCTGCTCAATTAATTTCTTCAGAGCTGAATCTTTTTTTGGATCAACCAGCAGACAAAGGTCAGAGGAATTAGCAATAAAGTCCACAGTTGACTTGCTGAACTTATCAATCTCAAGCGAACTACTTTGATTTGCCTTCTGCATTGCACTCCGGCCATCAAAATCTTTCAAGCTTATGCTGAAACCATCCATAAGCAGTGATTCCATTAGGAGGGGCTGCATAAGATTTATGAGCTTTATTGCCTCCCTTGGACCCTTTTCTGAAAGAGTTGATGAGATGATGGCAGTAACTGAGGCTCCAACAGATTGTTTGTTTGGGTGGCTTGGTAGGGTTCTTAATGCATCGGTAGTCTGTAGAATCTGAGGAATAGTCCAATCACCTGGTGGAATCATCACACTGGGTGATTGAGGAATAGTCCAATCACTCGGTAGAATCATCCCTGGCAAGAACATGGCAATTTGGCTTGCCTTTTCTCTAGAATACGATCTGTCACACATTATCTTCAGAGCTAGTAGGTAATCATTCTTGATTTGAAAGTTCAGCTTCGCATTGTGGGAGTTCAGCAGTTGTTTCTCCACAGTGAAGAGCTCTGCAGCTTCAGCTCTTGCTGTAACTGATCTTGGGAAGAAGATGTGAACACAATCGCCATAAAAATCTGCTCCAAGTGGGCCACAGATGAGCGGGTTGATCTTTATGGTGTGGTCATCATGGACATGGACATATAAGGCTTGAACTGAGTGCATGTCAGTGCTTGGTGGTCTATTGATGAAGACGAGATCCCCGTCAAGGACTCTTCGGTCTACAGTTTCACCAACCCTCAGCATGATGCACTTCTTGTCTCCTTTCTTCCCATCCAAGTCATATGTGTTGGTATTGAGATTAGTGTATGTTAGGCATAGTCCTTTCTCCATCATGTCTTGCAGCCGAGCAATGTTGTAGTTTGTGACACATTCTTGTACTGACATTCTTCTAGCTACTTCATCAGGCACCCCTACTACATCAAGGCCAATGTATGGGTCACCAGTGATCACTGCACGGCATGAGTAGCTTGAACTCTTACTAAGGAAGAGGGCCTTCATCTTTTTATGCCACTGTTTTGGTGCAGGCTGTCTTGTAAAGGTGACATGCTGGGGAACCTTCGAAAGACATAAGACGATAACACATTATGTTGCTGCAGGTATGATCAATAACATAATTTCTACTCATTTTAAAGATTAACTATAGGTACCTTTGCTGCCTTGCTGGCCTCCCATATTCATGTAATCGCCGACAGCTACCTGAAGATCATCTGCCCCTAACTCACGTGCTTCAAAATTTGGGTGGCTGATATTTAAGCTTTTGATTTGTTCTATCGTGCGCAGGACTTTCCGCAACAAGCCTTTTGGTGTGTCCTAAATCAGGAAGGGACAATCAGGAGTAACTATAATGGTCTGGAATGAGGGTGTCTTATGCAAACAGGTAATCTCATTGTTTTATCAGAAGGTACTTACAGGAGGGCATATTTCTTTGTGTTGTCATCTAAAATATTTGAAACATTTAGGCAATTGGATGGGACGGACATGTTATCCATCACAAATCCATCCTGAAGATTGTATCCCCTAGCAGCAAGCCTAGCTCTTGTTTCTTCAGTTATATTCTTCATTATGTCCTGGACCTAGAAATTGAACAACAATCTGTGTGTGAGTCCCTCTGAACAAGCTGTGAGTACATTGGAAATGTTTCAGGAGTGTAGATATTGCCCAGAATCATTGAGTACCTCTTTTGGATGTAAGGGGCGGCGGTGAGATGTACCGCTTGTATGGAAGCCAAATTGATCAAGGAAGCTCCAAAACCCGTCGGCAACCTCTTGCTTTAATGGTGCTTTCAGTTCCAAGCTACGGGCACCGTTGGATTTCTTCACTTGACTGACACATAGCGGTGGGAGATCCTGGAACAAGAGGAATGCAGGGGTTTGTAAGAGCAGCACAATTTCATTGTTCAAGCAAAGTAGTGCTCCAGATTGCACTTTTTTCACATCAGGAATGTGCTGAACATGGGAAATTGTGACCATCAGACCATCAATGATTTGATATTTGAGGAGATATATATGTGTTCCAACCAACCCAAGTGACTAAGTGAGCAAATTTGTATGAACAATAAGGTATGACAGGAAGGATACTGTCGTTTGATCAGTCACATATTACTATGGCGTACCTGACAGTATGAACATGAGGTGAATCTGCTTTCTTTCCCGGCGCCCTTCTGCTTGAGAATAATAAACAAAAAGACAAAGAAGCATGTGAGACATTATGTTTGCAACTATAACAGATATGTTTTCTCTGAATTGTGGCAGGCAGGATTCTTGTCCGTGGCTGGCACGCGCGTACCTTGGGTTTCTTGAGGCGGAGGCAGATGAGGTTGAGTATCTTCCCCAGCTCGGTGATGTGGTTAGGGTGGTAGATGGGCTCCGGCAGCTTGATGAAGCCAAGATGCCCTTCGCAATTGTCGAGCTGCGTGGCGCCGCAGGACTCGCAGCTGCTGCCGACCTGCAGGGGCAGCCCCAGCGATGGGTTGTTGTGGAGCTGGCTGCAGTGCGTGATCAGGATGGGATTCTCCACCGGCTGCGCCATGAGCTTCTGCCGGCCGGATGATGGGCATTGTCCATCGGAGAAGAAAGAAGATGCATGAGCATGAGCTAGACAGACAGCGAGAGTTGATGGAAGGAGACAACGTGAAGGGAAGAGATGAGGAGGAGGAGGAGCAGTGCTTACGATCTCCTCGCTGCTTGCGACGCTGAGCTTGACCCGGCGGATGGAGGCCTCTGGGACGGTCAGGCCAGCAGCTGCCGGATCGTCATCCTCCATTTCAATGGCTGTCTGTCCAAGAAATAGCAGACACAAGACAAGGTGTGAGCTTTGGAATTCAGGTGAAGCAGCGAACACGATGATGCAGATGCAGGCAGCCAGGCATGCAACTATGCAAGGTGTACCAAAAGTAAGTGGGATAGAAAGAAGATGGAGGAAGAAGCAGATGATGCGGCTACTAGCCTGTTGAGTGGAGTTGAGTAGGAGCTGGGAATGGGGGAAGGCAGTGGGAGCAAGATGATCGCTAACCAACCAACCAACCAGCAAAAGGGTTTCAGCCTGAAGAGGTCTCCTGCTTATATGTTTGGTCGTGTTACCCGCATACTTACTAGTCCAACCAAGAGACCCAAGCACGAGTCCTGCACTGCAGCGAGAGTCATGCATACTTGTGCTTGCACCCATTTGTCAGTCAATGGAAGGGGGAGAATGTGAGTAGCATTATTCAGCTTTCCTCCGCATTACACAGCAAATGGTAAACTTAAAACTGATCCATTGGATCCTCAGCTAACGGCTGAGATCCAACCGCTCATCTTCATGTGCTATTGTCCATAAAACAAGTGTTTCAGCTTCGTCAGACTTGCTTATACAATGTAGTCTTTTTTAACTGATCTGAAATACATATGCCATGTTGGGTGTTCTGAAATTTGCAATGTGATGGACGTGGTACAAAAATTATGATTGATTATCTGATCCTTTTCTTAAAAGGAAAAAAAATTATGTTTGCAATGTGGAAGTGAGTTGGTACAATGTATTATGTTACAATATTGTTCTTGTCAATTTGCTATACAGAAGCATGACAGGTTCATGTGAAGAAGGAAAACTCAGAAATTTCATGTATCCTTTTTGATTGGCTAGCTGCTGATGGTCACCTAGCACAGCTGCTGCGTTGTTATTGGTCCAGGATCTCATCTTCTGCCAGACAAGCATGGGTACAAAAGGGCAGTGCAAGCATAGGTAGGAGGGGCAGCCGTCTCTCCTGATTTTTAAGAGTACGAAATTCCAGTATCTATTCTTGTCACTAAGACCCTGGTTTTATTCAGGATTTATTACCTGGACCACTCCTTCCATCTGAGATTTCAGCCTATCACATTTGAGTTTGTCGCCTTAACCGTTGTTTTCCATGGTCTCCTGTCAGGAACTCAGTGTTCTCTCGTTCTTCCCATGGATGGATTTCCATCAACAGAGGAGAGCAGGTGAAGGAAGATGTGAAAAGGAATCTCGTCCCTGCTCTAGTGTTGGGTGGAGTTATCTGGCCAGCTTTGCTAATCGCAAACTCCCACTTCGTCCCCGCGCGTTACCAGCTTGCGTATGTGAGCTTGTTCGCGTTCTCAGCCAGTGTTCTTCTTGTCAGGATTGAACAGTATTGAGTCTCTTTCTCTTTCTGGAAACAGCGTGCTGGCATCGTTCCAGGAGATGGAAGCCCAGAAGAGTAAAGATTTGATCTGACTACTCTGTGGATCAACATATCTAAACTCTGGTTGATTCAGCAAGAAAGTCAAGAAGAGAACTGTTGCTGGCAGTAGCTGTTTAAATAACTGTGTGTGATGCCAGCAAATTAAAACTGAGCATCACTGTCGTTGTGGATAAGTTTTTTGAACCTCTGACTGACGTGGAGGGAAAATCGTTGCTGAATTCCTGTGTTGGCTTTGAGTCCATGAATTGTCAATTTTGCTGACGCGTGAGATTGGAGTGTAAGTTCACACACATACTGGCAGGTGGCAGCATGTGTTTCGGTGCAGTGGTATGAATGCTGTTGGCAAGCTGAAGATAGGTTGTGCCCTGAATCTTTTGCTGGCTGAGGCACTGCTAACTTCTTTCTTTCTTTTCTTTTTTTACGTTTTGAAACTTTCAACCAGACTTCCATTCACATAGTCCAGGCCTCTCACAGTCAATTGACACTAGTACATATACATGTTTAGCTACAGATTCTTGCCAAGCGAAGGTTCAGACTTACTCCAGCTTAAACCAATGGCAGCCAATTTGGAGTAAGCCAAAGTATGTACTACAGAGAACTGCTAAAAAAATCGTACAATAATAATCTACTAGCTCTGAATTCTGATCTCCTTAAACATCATGGCATGCAAGCGGAGTTAGAATTCTTGATCGTTTCCACCATTGTTGCAGCATCAGTCTCTGCAATAATTCTCTCCATTCCCTTGGCTACCATCTGAACATACCTAATATGAGCAAATTTTAGCCACGCCACGATTTGGCCAAGGCCTAATTTAGGCTTAGTAAGCTGGAGCCAGAGTTCAAACAGCCCCTTACTGCCTCAGTCACCATGACTCTTCCTCGTTCCTCCCTCCATCCGATCCCTCCGTCAGTCTCTACTGCGTGGGGCCGGACATTCCGGGTCCGACGACCGGACGAAGAAACACTTCTCCGGTGTAGCTAACTGTACTCGGACTCAAACCGTGTATGCAGACGAAGAGATCCAAACCAGTTGAAGCAATTCTAGTCCTTTTTTTAGATAATGCAATTCTAGTCCTTATACTGTGATAGACACGGCACCCATGTATTACAGATGTCAAAATCAGATCGATTAAAGTCTCATGATCGTCAAAAACTAAAAATTTTAGTATCGAAATACTAGTAGTATTCATAAATGTAACAAAAATTATTGATGAATATTGTGATATTGACGCCAAATGCGAGAAATGATCGAGGAGAAATGCTTTGCGCAAGCAAAAGCAGTGCTGTGAACCACACAGGATGCTCAACTGGGTTTTCAGGGTGAGCAGAGCTGCAAAGCTGAACTTCCTTTTGCTCAGCTCTAGAACGCTAAGGCATTAAGCCCATGTTTAGTTCGTCCAGAATCCAAAATTTGGCACTATGCAAAAAGAAGATTTTCCGTCACATTAAACTTGCGGTACATGTATGGAGTATTAAATATTGACGAAATAAAAAACTAGGTACACAGTTTAGTTGTACTTTGCAAGACGAACGTTTTGAGCCTAATTAGTCAACGATTGGACAATTATTACCAAATACAAACGAAATGCTACAGTGCGCTACAGTTCCTGTAGATTTCAGGCGGGCGCCAACTTTGCCAGCAACTAAACATGGCCTAAAAAAAATGAGAATCGAAATTCAAAGGACGCCAATGACCTCCTTTCATGCTCATAGTCAGTGACAGCTCGAGTCCAAGTTCATGCTCTACTACTCCACTTGTTTTCACAGGTTGTACTTGCCATGACCATGATGGAGTATCGAAAAGGACAAATCATATTTGTGGGTTACGGGGCTGCTTGGTTGCCCGCCGCCACAACCCACACCACGAGTAAAGCTGCCACACCTGTCAAGCCTGCCGCTTGGTTGATCAATAAAGTTTGGCTGCCACAGCTTTAATACTAGAGCCGGCCTTGTTTAGATTCCAAAGTTTTTTAACTCTTTCTTTATCACATTAAATCTTTGGACATATGTATGGAGTATTAAATATAGATTAAAAAAATAATTAATTATACAGTTTGATTATAAATTACGAGACGAATCTTTTGAGCCTAGTTAGACTATAATTAAACAATAATTATCAAATACAAACAAAAATACTACAATACCAAATACTAATTCTAACCGCTATCTAAATAAGGCCAGTCCGTAGTAGCAATTCTCGTCGCACCGTAGCGGAGGTTTTCGCTGCCACGGCTCTGTGGCTGCCACAGCTCTGTGGCCAGCACAGACTGGCGTGGCAGACAAAAGCCGTGAACCAAACAGTCTCTTACATTAAGGGCAACGGTGTAAATCAACTAACGTTTACCAACTTAAAAAATACCTATCAAGATCACTGGATGCTAGGATCACTGGATGTTGATCCAATAAATAAGATGAAAGATGAGATATTTTTGCGCTTAAGTCTCCACTCATCGTCCTTTTTTTTTTTTGCACTTAAGCTCCCTCACCCCATCCATCGATCAACATCCAGTGGTCATGATCGGTAGTTTCCAAGTTTACACATATTAATTGGTTTGCACATGATATGTTACCTACATTAAGCAAACTGAAATAGTTAGAGGGACAAAATGAGTACAAAATTAGCCTATCGAATTTACACACAGACAACGTTCATATGCGGGGTTAGTGATTGGGAATTTTCCAAAAATATGATTTGGGTCCAAGTTTTTAACATTTCAGGCAGAGGAACCTTAAATTTTACCGATATTAATTTTGATCCACTTGAAATGGCAACCGTGGATAAGCAGTGGGCCCTGTAACAAAAGGCTCCATGCATGTATAAAATGGGGAGGGGGCATTTTTTTTATACGTTGACTCCACGCACATTCGGAGAACTCGAACATGGCTCTCGGACAAGAAGTTGCACCCCTCACCCTCCTGCTCACGGTCCTCATCGCCGCGCCGCTCACGGTCCTCCTCCTCCTCGCTGTCGCCGGCAACAAGAAGCCCGCTAGTGCTGCTGCTCCCACGCCGCGCCGGGACGGCCGGAGGCTGCCGCTGCCGCCGTCGCCGCGGGGCTTCCCGCTGCTGGGCCACCTGCACCTGCTGGGCGCGCTGCCGCACCGCTCGCTGGCGTCCCTGGCGCGCGCGCACGGCCCGGTGCTGCTGCTCCGCCTGGGCCGCGTGCCCAACGTGGTCGTGTCCTCCGCGGCCGCCGCCGAGGAGGTGATGCGGGCGCGCGACCTGGCGTTCGCGAGCCGGCCCCGGAGCGCCATGGCCGAGCGCCTCCTCTACGGCCGCGACGTCGCGTTCGCGCCCTACGGCGAGTACTGGCGCCAGGCGCGCCGCATCTGCGTCGTCCACCTCCTCAGCGC